CATATGACAATTTCATAAATAAGAAAAATCTCATGATTTAGTTTTAGTCGAACGTACGTAGCCTCAAATTTATGCAGATCAATTATCAATCTACTACAATTATTATATTGTCGGACATTCCGCCGTTGTCATTCTGATCGTTAAAAATTTCTAAATTCAATCCTCCTCCTCCTGATAGTGAACATTATGGAAATTATTAATCACTCACAAAAAATATCACATTGTCTTTGCGAGGAGGTCGTGCTAAAAAATTTCGAAAGTCGATATCGCCCGAATTGTCGTGATTTAGTTTTAATTTTCTTTAAACGATTTAAAAAATATTGATCAGATAATATTTTAGTCTTGTTGTCGAACACAATTTATTGCCCGTTCCGTCCTGCTGCCTACCATCAAGCGATCACGAAGGAGGAGATGATGATGATGATGATCGAAAGTTATTATAGTTATTGTCGTCGTCGACGTGGACGTGGTCATCGTCGTCCCTTCGAGCATTAGAATCGTCTCAGAAAAAAGGAATGATATAACAGGACACACTTACTTATGTACTTACTCTTCCATCAGCATCCATCCATCCCCAGGTCGTGACATGAAACTGGGTTGACTTAAAAATTGAATGAAGCAATAATTTTGTATGCATCTTTGTAGTATTATTATTACACGTTCGTCTCATTACATTGTCCTCGGCAGTCCCTTATTATTATTATTTTACTCTGCTTTTTTGTCTCTATTTGTAAAATTAAAAGAGACCACTTTACTACATTTTCTTTGAGGAAAATTAAGTGCAATTTGTTTTTTTTATAATTTTAAACCAGAAAATAAGAAGGAAGGCGATACTGTGGATACACTTTTGTAGGTGGAGGTGGATGGATGTGCAATTATGGAATGCCATTTAAAGTCTGTATATCTGATGGGCTTGTCACGAGTCGCAGTACGGTGTGCACTACTTACTGCTTGGCATCATCATGGTCTTTTATTTGGTGAATAGATAAAAGAAACGTCAAAAGTCAACTAACAATAAAAATTTCATTAGATTCTCTCCAAAAACGCCTTTAGCTGCTAAAATGCTAACATATTTAGTCTCCCACCCGCAGGTTGACTACTCAAATGCCCAATTGTCATTTTATGGAGACAACTCAAGTTTGCGTGTAAGGGCACAGGCCCAGCAATTTAGCAATCTTGTACGAAACAAACCACCCTTTTGTGCTAAAAATGGATGAACTGTTTTTGCATTGTCAAGAAACAAATTCATCACAATAATTGGCATGACAGAAGCTACGAGAGGAGATTTGCATGCAATTATTCACGCATCTATCCACACATTCTCACAGAGATTCATAAACAAATTGCAATTTGGATTCAGAATTTGTAGACAGTTTAATAATTATAATTACAGCCATTCTCTCGTCGTAAGTATTGTCCATATTTTCATCACTTTACAACTCGTTCATTACAACTTGAAGACATTTTGTTTGTTGGTATTCATAATTGTTTCGTGACATTAGAATAAAATTATATGGCTGTTATAGCCAAGGCTTTTAAGAGAATTACTCTGTCATCCGTACAAAACGAGGCTCGCTCATTGATTTCTTGTCGTTGCGGATGTTAATAAAACGCTATTTATAAGCGATTAAGGAACTTAAATGGATGAAATGACGTGGAAATTTGTGCATATGTGTGTCCTTGTCGCAGTAGAGATTCGTTGAGTGGTGCATGGTAATGATGTCAACGCTTGTTTGCTTCTTCAATAATTAGTTTTAATTAGCATCATCAAAATTGCAGTTCTTTGTTTTCCGTTACGTTGCAATTTATGACTAACAAACAAATCATGTCTAATCAGCTTCTGTTCTTTCGTGGATTATTACCTGTCAATCGACTCTTGAAAAATTGAAACGACAATAAGTCCTTCATCGTTAAGAGAAAAACGTGTGTGTGTGATATTTCTTTCATGAAGCAAAATTATGCATAAGAAATTTAAAAACGTAAGAGTTTTGTCGTGCCTCACTAATTTTTAGCGCACAATTAAGACATCGTAGGACTAGAAAAAATAAAGATTTGCACTAAAATGTAGCAAGAAATCTACGAAATCACAAACTTTGTAACTTCAATTAAATCTGATCCCTTTATCAATTTATCAAATTACTTAGCACTCAATTGAATTAGTGAAACTGCTTATGACACAGAAAAACAATTTTTTCGAGATTATTACAAAAGTCATTGCTCATCCTGTCCTTATGTAAGAAAAGTAATCACAAGAAAACCAGTCATTCTCTGACCCCGCTTACATAACTCGCATTGTATCAACCATGTAACACAAAGGTTAAGGTCTCTCTCTCACGAGCCATTATTGTCATTTGATATTTTCCTTCCAAGAAGTAACATCTGCTCTGTCTCATCGGTCAAGAGAGTGATTTCTCCTTGTGCTTTTAATCAATCAATTATCACACAACAAAGTGTTGGTTCTTCTATCCAGCTAGCAGATTTTGGTAAGAAAGGGTCACATGCATTAGCTCAGTTTCGATTCTTCCTACAGTGACTTGATTGATTGCATCTCGTCCTTCCTTCGTAAATGGCTTGCTCATTTCATTCCATTTGGAAATACAATACTTTCACTTAAGAAGAAAGGGTCCAATAAGTTCTTCATCGGGTGAAATGATATTTACTCCATACGTGTAAGAATCGAGAGGGGGAAAGTGTGAGAGAAAGGGTAAACCTTTTCTGGAAAAATTTCGCCTGTCTTTTTACATCATGTCTCTTGATAATTTGATAATTGTTGTAATACTACGGCTTAATTGGTGCCCATGTATGTATAACAGCGAGAAAAACAATAAGATTCGTGTATTAGTTGACTCCACAGCGAAACAAATTCCCACTGGAGATATTTAATTCATGCCACCATCCAGTGTCTCTAATAGGTTTGAGTCTCCGAGATACGAGGTTTAATTCAAGTGTGAAAATTATTTGTTAAATGAACAAAGCCTGAGAGAGAGAGAGATGCATAAATTCTTAATTAGCTTTAATTGACTAATCTTCATGTCTCTTTAGCGAGGGCGTGAGGGGTTTAATAACAACTGTAAATTTGAACCAAGATGAAAGTTGAATACCATGTTGACAAGGAAATCTTTGGCTTTGTAGTGGTGTTAGTGGGTGAAAGAGAGCGAGAGAGTAATTGCCTGGATGGATGAGGACATCAAATATTTAGAGTTTGTAAAGCAATCAACAGTTTGTCCCCTCCTTCGTATGCATGCATAAAGTTGGGTTAAAGAGGAGGAATAAGATTTGGACATTTTAGAGTGAGAGGGTGGTTATGTCATGTATTTATTAGTTTTTCGAGCTAAATTACACATATAATCGTGGACAGTTTTTTTACTAAATTAAGTAGGATTAGTAAGAAATTATATTTTTGCAACAATTTCCATCCTACTTTTGCTGATTTATCAATCTCTTATCTCTTTTGTAACAATGTGGACCGTGTGTTTATTCCAGAGTTGAAGTTCGCTCTTCTAGTTATTCAAACCCACCACAGCCCCCTGAGACGTACCCTTTATGAATAATTCTTTCCTAGAAAAGTGGGAAAAATCCAGCGATCTCGGAATATCCGGGTATCACCTCCTCTGGGACTGAACGGAGGCAAAGTTGGAATATATCTTGGTCACAGTTCTTTTACAAGGAGCGTTACACCCTCCACACTATAAATTCATCCCCATCTTTAGCTTATCAATTTCTCCAGGGAGGAAAGTGCTGTGGTGGGGTTATGTGATTGCTTATGTGCTTTTCTTGACTTTTCTTCTCCTTGAGCAGTAAATTCGTAGTCTTGTTCTTCACTTTATGCCCCATCCGATTTGCTTGGTCACCAAGAACAACTTTCTTAATTTGATAACGTATGCACGTATTGCGTCAGAGTGAACCAAACTGAATTTGCTTTGAGGGGTGGACGTGGACAGTTTGTTTGTACCATTAAATTAAATTTGACGGACTTTCTCTGCTTTTGATGGACCATAAAATATGTTGACCGCCGTGCAGGACATACAACAAGTAGTAGGTACATGCTGGAGGGGGATGGAAGGGTGACAGGTAATTGTGTGGAGAGGGGAAGAGGACGCGCAGTGGTTTAATTGGGTTAACCCTTTCGACACTCGCCAAACATAGGAAACACGGACCCACCAACTACATAGACGGAAAATGGTCATGATTCAATGAAATCTAATATAACTGGCTGTCACGTCTTGGATCCAAATTCACTCCATATTATGGTCCGTTCTTTTTTCAAATAATTAGATATTTCGTCGTCGTGCAGGGTAATCTTTTTCATGACAATTACAAAATTATGACCAAATTGAGAGACTAATGTGTGGAATACAATTCCTTAAAAGTAAAGTATTTATCAAAGCAGAGACTAATAACGAACCAAGAAATTATTCAGTTTGTGTGTGGTATCATGAAATGGAGTGAGCACAAAAAATGGACAATGTCCATTTTAAGGAAAGCATAGGAGTAGGTGCATACATATGCTAATGTATTTAGTACTCTTCGTTCGTAGATATTATGTGATCAAGTGCAAAAGTAAAGTGGTTTTTTGCAACGCATCTTCTTTAGCGATGGTCTCCTCTGACTCTGAGTCGAGATTTGATTTACTCTGCCCAGCACTTGAAGTGACGTTGGTCAATTCCCCAAAGAGACAAGTGCCAGCCCCGTTTTTGACACAAATGTGTGATTTATGAGTTGGTTGGTGATGCAATGAGAAAATTCTCATCTTTGGTCGCCTTCTGGGGTGACTCTGGGTGAATTGTTGAGTTTATCTGTCGATTCTTCAAAAGAGGGAGACCAAGGGTGTGTCAAAGTCATCATCAATTCTGACCTGATAGATATTTACCCTGCATTCGTACTTACAGATACGTGGTAAAAGTTTCATGGAGAAATGCTCAATAAAATACACAAGTTCTGCTCGGTCTGGTCAAATATTTTATGATTATTTCAATTCCTTCTTATTTGTATAATTACAGAAACTTCGCTGCAGTGCGGGCGGTTGTGACTGCAAATCCTTCTGCGCTGCTGGGGACACTGCCGAATCATTAAGAATTTGCGATAATTGCAGCCACACCTGGATAACACATTGTAAGTAAAACGCAATTAATTATAACTTTGTAGCTAATTTCACGAATCTTCCGCCAAGCTAAAAAGTGGTGAAAGCAACCAACCATACAGAATCGGGCTCTAAAAAAAACTGATGTCTGCATCCAGATTGCAAAAATGTTACACATTGTTGCATATATTGCTTTGCTATGTATAAGATCGGAACTTATTTTTTTACTTTCTTGTTAACAAGCAAGATCATAACATGTGATTATTTTTACAATTTTTTCTACAATTTTTACCCAAGGGTATACATGCATATGCATCCCAGCCGATAATAATTTGCCTCGCTTTATGACACTTAGCATTTTCTGACAAATTATCTCAAAGGTGCAATTTCCATAAACGACATAACAACCAGTGTAGATCCCAATTTATGATGGGTCAAACCCCCGTAGAATTTTGTAAGCACAATTAATGATCCCTGAAATTTGAATGACATGAACAAAGTGGCATTTGTCGTGACTTTGTAATGACTTGGTCAATTCGACTTAAACGTTGTTCACTCTTTCTTTCCTCGTCTATTTCACATCTTGTGTGTATGCTGAGGTAATTACTGAATATTATCGCACACATTTTCCATCTGCCAATAGATAATCAATTGATTGGTCTTTTACTTTTAAGACGAGAGAGGTTACAAACTCTGAGACAAAACATTGTTATTATTTCCAAACGATGCAAGTGTTTCATAAAATTGAATTGCTTTTGCTCTTCACAACAATATTTTTAAATTGGTAAAAGACCAAATCACAGAAATAAGAGAAATGACACCTCATCTCGTCTGACTCGCCTTTTAAATCATTGTCGGTTGGGTTAACCGAGGTCACTGCGTAAAGCCTTTAATAAATTGAAAAGTGGAACTATTTTGCTTGTGCAGACAGGCCGCATCAATTTCAATGCAAGTCCTATAACTTTGCAGTTTTCAACACGAGCACTGAAATTATCTGAAATAAATCTAATTACAAACACTGACAGACTTGTGCACTTTTGAGAATTAAAAAAAATTGTGCAAAATGTGCAACGCACGTCTGCCCATGCCAAGGTATTATTGAAGACATCCATATATTTATAACCGCCAGCAGCAAAAGGAAGACGGTCAATTATCGAGTTGGATATAAAATTCAGGCAAATAATGATGATACGATTTGCTGATTGGGGCGAAGCCAAACCAGCAAATATTAATTTTGTATAGTTACAGGAACTGACGAAATGAAATGATATCGTTATAATTAAAAATACAATAAACACCAAGTCAGGATCAGTTGCTTGTAGGTATTTGTTATTTACACCCCAAATTTAATTCCTGATTCAGATAAGAAACACGTTTCTTTCAGCATGTTTGCCTCTTTGCTTCGTCTCTGTTAATGAGAAATTTGGTAAAAATTTGAAGAAGAGGAGGAAGAAGAAAGCAGCCAGGCAAACCAGCGTGGTGTTCATCATCCTTCAGTAAATTTGTTCTGTTTGTTGGGATACTAATGACAAATTCTGTGTATCACTCATTCCTGGGTTGGCCTCGGTTTATGTATTTAGTTATTAAAGTCAGGGCACAAAGTGTGAATTAAGAGAGCAGAGCAGATGTGAACTCGCTTCTTAATGATGTAACATTAAAAACACATGGATTTTGGGTTTGTGATGCCTTATCACAAGAAGAAGCAAAAGTCGTCCGTCACGCCAAATCCGAATCAAAGTGGTGCTTTTGGTTTGGTGCAGGCAGATGAAATGGAAGGGTGCAAAATTCTAAATAAATCTAAATCTAGCAGGTTTACAGGTTGTGTATATTTGACTGAAAAGAGTTTGTGGTGTCAAACGATCCTTGACGAATTTTGACCTGTGCCCGCAAAACGCTTGCCTTCGTACATCTCCTTCCTCTCTTAACACGATACAATGTGGAGGAGAGGAGACCCATATCAAAATTCTAATCAGTGAAGGAAGAAGTACGTTAGAATTACTGACATCAAACAAATAAGTCCAAAAGAAAGATTTGTGTTCCGTCCGACGATTGTCTTGCGCAGACTTTAAACAATATCGTAATGATAACAACCAACAGAGTATCAAATCACTTGACCGCATATGTTTCCGGTTGGAAATTTTTTAATATTTTAATCTCCTCTCTGTCTCTCTTAATAAAGGGAAAAGTGTGCCTTTTGCAGGTGGTGGTGGTGGTTGGCTACTAGTGTTAATTGCAACAAAGGCTTTGCCTTCTTTCTCTGGGTACAAATTACCAGGTTACAACATGCAGTAGACAAATTACAATGACCAAAAACTTAAATAAAAATTGAGATTTTAAATTCATGATATATTATAATCAACACATCCTCCTTTCCTCGCCATGATTAAGACGCTACTACAATTTTAATATACCATCAACGAACCAACACGTTCTAAATAATTCATGGTTTGCATCCTTTCGAAACAGCGAAAACATTATGAGACGACGGACAGACAGAGTTTTGTTTAGAATAAATGCCGTATATTGCACAAGCCCTTAATTGTTCTCCTCTTGTCTTTTGTGATGTGACACTCCCCCTCGTTTTGTTCTTTGGTGATGGTTGAGTTTTCTTGAAGAAAGTACAAAAAATCACGGCTTCTTGTGCAGGGATGTGGATAGGAGTGAGGTGACTTTCAAGTAATTACAGGGCTGGGTGCTCTGTCAGGGAAATTAAGTCGCCCAAATGGCATAAAACTAGACTTTTTTTTTCAATTCGCACGATTCGCACGTTTTTGGCATCCGTCATCATAAAGTTGTTGTAATATAAGAGAAGTAACATAATAAACCGACCGTGGGCGATTATCACCAGAAAGAACAAAATGGGACGAACTTATACATGTACCACCGGCGTGACGTTGTTTTTAGGGGACACGCGAACCGTGTCTTTTTCTTTTTCGCGTTAAACGGATCACCCATTCTTCTAGATTTTTGGCACCCCACACATTTCACGATTTCCTCAATAAGTCACAAATAAATAAAATAAAATAAATGGAATCAGATTTCATGGCAGGAACTTGGAAAGGTCATCGTATCCCTAATTTTTATAGTCGTAGAGTAGGTAATTCAACTTGGAGGAGATACAGCTAATTCATAATTGTTGAATCGCAATCAAATTGAGCAATCTGTACAGCTCAGTTTGACTTTTTGACTCATGGACACAAATCGATTCACATGGGTGAACTCACTTAAACTTCTGCATGTCGGACAATTGGAAGGGTTGGGATGCATGTGGATTAATGATAATTCGCCTCTTGTCTTGTCGCACTTTGTTGGACAGGAAAAGAAAGACCATCATCATCGTCAAACATTGCAAGTAGCTTGTGAATACATACATACATCTAAATGACACGAATATTAGTTTGTGCTCATAACGTGACGTGGGACGGCATAATTAATTGTGCTGCTGGTGTTGCTTGTTCTCGTGCAAATGAGGGCTGCTTTTTTGTTGGTATTATTTAATAACTCGGCAGGTGTGAAGTACTGCAAATATTCAGTTTTTAGTAGAGTTGACCACGTTCATTTTACAAAATTAACCACCACGAGCTAAATATCTTGATGTTATGTTACCTTGCATTGTCAGAGACACAAAAAATGTATAAATACATATGTACGAGTACTCATGACAGGTTATCATAATATTCATATTCGAGTAGGTGTTTATGTACCAAAAACAATAATAATAAGCGCATTGTTTAGCTTTACATGTAACTAGTCTAACCAGCAAATGGTGTACATTTGTAGGTTGTTCGATCCACCACTAATTTTAATTGGTGATAATTAACGCGAAATTGATGCAGCGACCCTTTACCACAGAAGACCAAGTAGATAATTTACAAGATACACTACTTGCATATGTACATCTGCGTCTTGATTACGTATGATTCGTCACTATTATCACCCCTCCATCTTAATGATGAGGTTGGTTTCCTGAAAATTTAAGAAATTTTTACTTTACCCATCTATCTAGCAAACAATCAGTCATCCAATCCACCAACGTAACGAAGCACGAGCAACAACAGAGGGAAAATGATATATTAAATCGAGAGAGGAAATGGTAGGTCGGTTTTTGGTGGTTTGGTTGTTGGTCCGTCTCGCGAAATGACTTTACCATTTAAAACGGAAGGAAGGAGGATTGGATGGACATGGATGGACGTGACTGTTTTCTTAAGTATGAGCTGAGCAGCGTCTTTCTTCTGGCTGGTTTGATGTCATATGCATCACTACGAAATGACCCGAGCTGATTCGACGCGAGATTGTTTAGCCAGCCAACCAAGCAGTGACGACCCCTCAAAATTCAAGAGTTAATGAATGGCTACAAAACAAAATAAGAGTGCTCATTTCTTTAAGTAATCAACGAGACGGAAGATTAATTGGATTTCAACTTTTTTAAAGAAAAGTCTCAGATTTTTGGACTCGCAAAGAAGTCGGGTGGTTGGCCGGTGTGTGGTGGTCTATCATTTTTCTCATCTTTTTACATCGCTGCTCATATAACTGACGTATTCGGTTGGGGAGGTTTTCCTACTTTGCCTTCCTTCCCTACAGCTTATCATCTTCTTCTGCCTCCACCTTCCTCCGGCATTGGTCGTCATCATATCGTCGTCGGTTTCGCTATAGTCGTCGAAAGAACAGAGCTTGTGCCAATTTGAGTTTAAAGTTCATTCAAAAAAATTCACTTTTGACATTGCACACTTCCGTTGGTCGTTTCGTTGCTTGTTTGACTTTCATCTGAGTGGAAAGATTGTTGATAACGATTATTTGAGACAAGTTTTATTCACAAGTTGAAGCAATTAATGGGCAAGGGGTTTAGTTGGCATTTAAATCCTGCACATTCATTCAAGGAAAGAATGCTTTTGACTTTATGTGCATATGTATAAACATGCTGCTGGCATATGTATGCACGTATTATAGCCCCAGTTTCACTCACTCTGTTGTTTTAGTAAAGGACAATGCACAATCGAGATTTTAAAACCCACAGTATTTGCATAACATGAGG